TACACCAGACTGAGCCACTGTAGGCAGGTATTTGAGTTAATCCCCCTAACTAGGGAAAGTGTGGATGTGTGTTTGACTTATTCGCGCATCGGAGCAAATTTATGTGCAGAGCTGATCAAGACTCATCGTTCACTGCTCACGTCTATGCAACGTCATCCCCAAAATAGCCTGACCTGAATAACAAAGAGAGATGGGATGGAAAATAGGAGTCAGGCATGACGATTGATCATTTGTGCCCTGGCTAGTGTGTCATTATACAATGGCAAAGTCTATGAGAGGAAAATAAATGTTACTGTAATTAACTACCCTGACACTGAGGCAGTACCATCATACTGTCCTAACTTGGATCACTGTTAGATTTATCCCAAGCATTATCATCTTTTTTATGTTGCTTGTGAAAACACCTAATTTCTGATGGTTCATATTAAATCTGTGCTGTAATATTCTTGCAAAGGTGACGTGCACTTACATGTTGCATTGAATTGTTTCTCTACGTAGTTTGCAGTGGTCCAAGACCAAAAAACATACTAATAATATTGATGATAAGAYGTAAAAATGAGGGTGGTGTTAGAGTTGGCCCTAGTGGTGCAGCTGCAGAGCTTTAAGTTTAATAATTCATGGCTGACTGAGCCAAGCTGACCTTGAAAAATCCCTGGTTCAGACTTGTAACCTGGCTCAGCTCATTTAGGACAGAAATAACAAGTTGAGACAGACAGATGTAAAGCCACGTTTCACCCAAGCTTCTTTTAGGATAACTTTTTCTTTTCTTTTTTTTTTCTCCTGACATTGGTATTTTAGATTCATTATTATAAAAGCACTTATTTTGAGTTGATTCCCTGAATGTTGCATATGTTTTTATGTTAGTCTCTGWTTATACTTCTTGGCATCACTAGATTGGATTTTACATAGATTGAGCCACGTTCATCAACAAGGCAACAGTTCTACATATTCAGATTTTATTTGTTTAAAAAATGATGTTTAAACTGCGGCAGGACAAAGGCAGTGRCTTGCATCGGATTTAGTTTAATTGATATCCAAAAATAAACCCTTCACCAACAAATGCCTGTTTTTTCTGGTTTGAACATTTCAAATGAACTGAGATAAATGGTTTAGCTCCAACGTAAATTACAGGAAGTTTAGTTTCAGCTTCTCATTTGGATCTCAGTGGCGGCTTTTGCTCAAGTGCTAGTTTTTATTTATGAGTCCTTTTGGAAATAAAATTGAACACAACTAACACACTTCCCCTTGGTGCTATTGCTACATTTACATCTGTAATCATAAATCTTCTACTGTTCTCCACATAAATGTGCTGTGCTGCAGTGGGTGTTTCGAACTCTAAGTTACTAAAATTGTTGTGAAACTGTTGCACACAAAAAAAACTTTGAATTTCCATTGCATTAGTACAGAATTACTCAAAAGCAATTGGGCTGCTTTCTTTAAACAGTCCTTATTGACCAAATTCCTTTTTTGAATTAGAAACTCAATTAGGATAACAGTAATCCAATCAACAGCAACAACAAAGCTGGAAATCTAAGAAGCTAAGCAACAAATTACAAGCTCACTGATGAGTTGATTGATTCATCTTCATTAGTAAGAAGTCTGATTGAACTATAGATCAGGATTCAATCATCTTTTTTGCTTGAAGTGCAGCAAAGGTGAAGATTGTTTTTAAACTTAGCTGAATTAGAACCTTGTTTGTTTACACTGGATTAATGAGTCCATTAGTCAGTGATGGGATTCAGCTTTCTGTAATGACTAATAAGAATGAAATGTTTCAGGAAACCCACTGTTCACTAATCACTCAAGCCTTCATCTCAAGTTTGTATTGGTTCAGTTCAGTGGATTGCCACTTATGTAGTGTTGTACCAAACAATTATTTAAATAAATAAATAAATAAATAAAATAATTTAAATAAGGATTCTTAAAGCAGTAAGAAATGTGCTTTGTCATAGCTAGGTGTTGTTGGTGCTTTGAAAATGCATCATTGTCTGAAAGTTTTTGGCTTTTCCAAGCCTGACTGAATCACAATGTAGCATATTGAACCTCAAAGGCATACTTGCTGTTTTTGTTTTACTCTTCAGTTCTAGTCAGCGGTGTGTTAAGCTGTGTAAATTGTGAAATGGGATTTGAAGTGCCCGTAAACAGGATGGGCTGGCACTCTTCTGTTCCCTCGTGAAATCTGCCACGGGRCAATGAGCAGGTCCTGCGTAGAGGAAGAACAGCCCTCGAAGGAAAGTTTGCTCATTGTTATTCTCCGAGCTTTGTTGGATGTACGACATATTTAGCCAACAGTGACAACAGACTGACAAASCCTGTTGACACTCAGAAACCGAGACGAGATGATTGCAGAGCGGGAAGGAACCATGCTTTATTACAAAAATAAGTACCGGCTAACTTGTTGTATCCAGATGGAAATTCTGAATTACTATTTTTATTTTTTTTCTTCTGGAAGTGACTCAGCTGTAGCTTTTTGTTAAACTGCCATTATCCTCGCCTGGTTTCTGTTTTTGTGTTTATTTACAGTATGTTTAATAAGTCAATTCTACCTCAAAATGCCTTCTCATGTTACATCACTTTAGTTTGATTTTCTAATACTTTCATGCGTGTTTTTGGGGTTTATTGTGCTAAACTCACTACTGGAGTTCAAATTACACTGCAATAGTTTTTTTTTCTAGTGTACATTTTTTTTACTTCATGTATTTCATAGATGATGCATCTTAAACTGTAACAAGAACAGTCAGGCATTAAGGTCAGTTTAGTTTGTAGTTAAATCTGCAAAAAATACATTTTACCTCCTTTAGAACAAGGATATTAATGAAATATTTTTTTGCTTATTGGTTTGGACTATAGAGCTTTTTAGCACTGTAACAATCATACATAAAGCTATTAATGACAGCACTTCTGCTATGTAAACTGAATGGGGAAAATGCTACAATTCAAATACAATGTGAGCTCTTTTAACATGTTGAGTCATTTCTACCTGAATATGAAAGGAATGTGTTTAGTGTGACTCAGTAATTTCCTGCTATAGTGAACGGCTAACAGGAACTCCTCTTTGAAACGTGGTTTTTCATTTAAGGTGGTCGACTCTGTCATCTAACATGGGTTTCTGTTGCAGAATATTTATTTTACTCACTTTGAAGCCAGTGTTACTCTCAGTTTCGATGAGTCACACACAGAGATGGTTTATATTCTGACAAAGTCAAGCAAACACTTTGTTCACAGCTTCCAGTAGGTGAAGATGCTCGTCATATCAAACTGGGTCATTTCTGTGGTGGGGGATTACCTTGACTTACTGACTTTGTTCAGTTAAGCGAAACTTTGTTTCTCATGATATCAGACTTTTTTTGTTTGTTTTGTTACTCATTTGTCTTCTTATCTGTCAAAAAACTGAGCTTTATTCTGGTAAACTGTGCACAGTATGGGTTTGGATCAGTTGTTCAGCTGAAATAACTTCAATAACCATGTTAGAAAACACAGTTTAATAAGGTTATTGAACAGTATAAGTACTTTTTGTAGCTCCTTGTGCTATTTTCCTCTTTAAACAATAATTGATAAATAAAAATAATTTCTAACCAAGCAATGTTTGCCTGCTTATGTAGAAGTCTGATAGTTGGTGGAATAATTTTTTTGTTGGAAGCATCTTTCTCCTTCTTTATCTATGATTTACAATTTACATTCATTTTGTTTGATGAACTGGATTTTTAGTGCGATAAATGCTCAAATTTAGATTGTGAAGTGAGAGTCCTGATAAATTGTCACTACAGGGTAGAATTGGGCAAAATTATATCGTGTGCAATTAATCATCAGAAAAGCTTTAATCGATTTAATTTTTTGGCACTTGACAGTTATTACGATTAATGCCACCAGGYAGACTGACTGGAGATTTCCCTGGTTTTACTTGGTCTAAACAATTTAAAAATTGACGTACAGCCTGAAGTCTGTACTTATGACACGGTTTGGAAAAGATTTTTATGGAGAGCAAATCTTTCCTACTAGAGTGATTAATTGGTCACGTGACTAGGACATGCAGGGGATTAATCATCATATTAGTCGTTATCAGCTAAGTACCACCATTAATTGTGATTTTTTTTTTTTTGCCAATATCGCCCAATCCTACTACATGGTTTAATAAATAAACAAAAGTATGTATTTACAGTAGGGTTGGGCATAATCTTATCGTGTGCAATTAATCGTCAGAAAAACATTAATCGATTACTTTTTGGCACTTGACGGTTAATACGATTAATGTCACCAGGCAGACTGACTGGGGATTACTCCGATCAGTCTGCTCGGTGCTCCCCTCCGCTTCAAATATGACGAACATTAAAAATAAAGTTCTGTAATTTATTTATCAATCATCACAATTTAAAATATGATGTATAGCCTGAAATCTGTAATTTTCACACAATTTGGAACAATTTTTTACAAATAGCAAATCATTCCCACTAAATTGGTCATGTGACTACGAAATAAGGGTGTCCAGGAACTCCAGGGGATTAATCGTCAAATTAATCGTTATCGGCTAAATACCACAATTAATCATGATTAATTTTTTTGCCAATATTGCCCAACCCTAGTTTACAGTATTTATTTTTAAATTGTATCATGTTTGCAAGTTTTCCTCCAGCTCCATTTGACCAAGCCTCTCTTTCAAAAGATATCTAAACAAGCTAATGAGGTCAAGTACTTTGTTCCATTGTAAGATACCAAAGATTACGATTATGTTGTGTAATATTTTTCTCTTTAAACATTGGTTGATCATACTGAAGGCAGCTTTTTAAAATACTTTATAAAGTACCGTAAACATACTTTGAAATAGGTGGAKGACAGAAGTCCTGTTAAGGAGTCTTGCCTCGCACAAAGACTGACCACAAAATGTTTCTAAACAGAATTTACTGTCAAATAATGAATTAAAGCTATGTGACTTTGTTTTAGTGCCCAGCGGTTTGTCCCACAATATTTGATTTATGTGTTTTTCCCGCCTCTTGCTGTTGCAGGTGATCCTCAAAGAGTGACAGATGTGTGGCTCTGTGGAAAACCGTTTTCATCTCCAGGTGGAGATTTGAGTTCGTGGCTGCTGAGGTAAGCACACAGGGAGTCAAAGAAACTGTGACGTCATCAGTTCTTATCTCTCACCTGAGGTTAATTTGATTACAACTGTTTATTTTGGGTTTTTTGTACAAAATGATCATTTGGTAAATGTTTGAGAGTCTTTTGGTAGCAGTTCCCATGGTAGCTTACTTATAAGTCAGCCTGCCGTCCCAGTAAGTCTTTGACAGCCTGACAAGCCCGAGGAAATGTATGAGTCAACCTTTTACAAAGAGCCGAGCAAGCTGACTAAATGGAGCCTATCAATTCAGACTAATTTTTTAGAACATGTACTTGCACAAAAAGATTCCTCCAGTTCATACCATCATCCCTTCTGCCCTTCTGACCTTGAAGAAAATTGGTTTTCTTGCTCCTTCTGAGCCTCTTTAGGAACATTTTTCATGCTTATCTGCACCATACTGAGTTTTTGAATCGTTTATGATGGGTTCAGTTTAAACAGCAACCTCTACTGTAAATACTGATCCAAAGTGTCTAAAAGGCTCCAAAMTCTAGGAGGGAATGCAGGGTTAGACATAAGGGACATTTCCAGGTTGTCCACCAAACAACTTATTTACAAATTGCCAAAAGTTTTAGTTGTCCTTTATAAAAAAAAGAAAAAAAAAACTCTAGAATTTTTATTTTATTTTAATGCATATTTTTCTGTATGCAAAGTTTACTATGTACAAATGTACAAATGTTTCCAGTGAGCCAGGTTTCAGCAGCTGCTTGAGTAAAACTCCTCCTCATCCACTTCTTTGTCATCGCGTTAATGATGTTTAATTATAAGAACTAAATCATGCTCCTGCTGCGAGCTGCTCTTTTGAGAATCAGGAGTTCTGTAAGATAACAACAACGCTCTAAACACATTAACGTTTAAATAATGACAAATATATTTAAAAAAATTTGTTCTCCTCAGTGGAAAATACAGTTGTCTGGGAAATCCTGAGTTCATTCACCTCCCATCTGAATCCAGGCTGCGGACACCTGCTGTCAATCAGACAGCACAACCCGCCCTGCTCTGTTCTGATTGGGTAAAACTTGGACTGTGGTTCTCTTGGTGAAAGAATCATCAGTTTAATCCCTAAAGCCTTTCCCCCTTTTCATTTTTACAAATGACAGACATCCCTCACTGTGGAGAACTTGGTTGTCCACCGGACAACCAGGAGGCGGGATGGGGTTGTCCGAACTGAAAATGGGTTGTCTCAGACAACCTAAATGCCCTTATATTGACCCCTGGGAACAGCAGGCAGGCCAAGTTAAATATGTCAATTTAAATTTACATAGGTTTGTCTTTTTGTTGACTTTAAAAGAAAGGTCAAAGTCTTGCTGAAACAGGATACATCTATGGAAGTATATAGTATGAAAATGTGGATTTGCCTTCAAAAGTCACACCATTTTATTTGCAGTATGACTGGCTGGTTATTCATGATTTAATAATTTTTTTCTGTTTTCCAAGTGATGTTCTTCAAGTTGTGTTGAGATTAAAACCCTCACACAAGCTGAATATCTGTAAAAAAAAAAAAAAAGTGTTTCCCCTTTTTACAGCTGGTTATTTTAATCCAAACACTCATATGACATGCCTTATTTGCTTAATTACTCACTTTAGCCCAACAGACACATCCAATAAATGTTTGCACTTCCAAACTTCCTCTTTCTTGTTTTTTTATTTTTTTTTTATTTTTTTTTTTGTCAATTCAACATTCAAATTTTGTGGATAGTTGTGCATCTATTGACACATTTTAATATAGTCTAAAACAGAAGAAATAAATTTCAGTTCTGGTCATTTAACATGAATACAGCTGCTGTTATTTTATTAATACTTTTGTTTCTTGTTGTTTAATTTTCCCTGGTGTTAGCTGTGATCACATCTATTATGATCAACATCTACAAGTATATGAAGGTTTTGTATGTGTTATAAACCTGTTTATAAGATGCACTTTGATACAAAGACATGTTTATGCATGCAGAATCTGCATGCATAAACATGTCTTTTACAGCCACAACCCTAATGTACTATCTGCATTGCAAATTCACGGTTCTGGTTCTGGTTTTTTAATTTTTTATTTTTTTGAGTAATCTGGAGAGCAGTTATAGAATATGTGTGTTGCTCAGGGACACCATCACATATGGGCATGGCAGGGAATTGAATCAGTGACTTTGAAAGCCGGCTGCCTTACACTAGCAAACCATCAGAAAGAGTAACAGTCAGATTTTTAGAAAGACTGGGCTCGATTGCAAGCTTCATTGTGTCCGTCTGCCGTTACATAATGAAACGCTGTGCATCTCTGTGGATGATTCATCGGAACATCACCTTCAGTCTGTATTCAGTCGCTGCGTCCTGTGACTCCTCACTCGGTTCATCAGTCGACACAAACACAGTCACTGGCTGCCTTCTGCTCAGATGTGCCTCTTTCGCAGCGCTCCGTTTTTTCGGGGTGGTTAAAAGTGAGAATAAGCAGTATTTTCCATGAGAACTGGTCTGAGGCTTGTTATTTTTGGGCAGTTTGCTCAATCTAATTTTAGCACCAAGAAGCAGAGGACAGGATAAATAGTGTGTGTGTGCTGCTGCAGCCCAGAATCACATTATGTTTAAAATATTTTCTTTTAGTTTACTGTAGCGCTTTCTATTCCAGAAGCATGAAAATGTGTCTAAAGCAGAAAATATCTGGTTGCATTTGATGTGATTTGAGCTGTCAAGTTAAATCTCCCATGAACCCCAGCGGTTTTTTCCTGTCTTCGTATGTCCGCTGTGACCATTTACGGTGTGGAAGTGACTTGTTATATAACCATGTCACATATCAGGGCGCTCCTAGAACCCAGCTTGTGTTTGTTAAAGTTGCATCTGCAAATTTAAAGCCAGCGATATTATATGTTGTTATTTATTCTGAGTTTATTTAAATATTACAATCACATTTTTTTAAAAGTACAAACTGTTACGCCTCCACAGTGAGCATGCAGTTACAGTGGGGAAAATAAGTATTTAGTCAGTCACCAATTGTGCAAGTTCTCCCACTTAAAAAGATGAGAGAGGCCTGTAATTGACATCATAGGTAGACCTCAACTATGAGAGACAAAGTGTGAAAAAAAATTTGAGAAAATCATTTTGTCTGACTTTTAAAGAATTTTTTTGCAAATAATGGTGGAAAATAGGTATTTGGTCAATAATAAAAGTTCATCTCAATACTTTGTTGTATATCCTTTGTTGGCAATGACAGAGGTCAAACGTTTTCTGTAAGTCTTCACAAGGTTGGCACACACTGTTGCTGGTATGTTGGCCCATTCCTCCATGCAGATCTCCTCTAGAGCAGTGATGTTTTGGGGCTGTCGGCGGGCAACACGGACTTTCAACTCCCTCCAAAGGTTTTCGATGGGGTTGAGATCGGGAGACTGGCTAGGCCACTCCAGGACTTTGAAATGTTTCTTACGAAGCCACTCCTTTGTTGCCCTGGCAGTGTGCTTGGGATCATTGTCATGCTGAAAGACCCAGCCACGTTTCATCTTCATTGCCCTTGCTGATGGAAGGAGGTTTGCACCCAAAATCTCACAATACATGGCCCCATTCATTCTTTCATGTACACGGACCAGTCGTCCTGGTCCCTTTGCAGAGAAACAGCCCCAAAGCATGATGTTGCCACCCCCCATGCTTCACAGTTGGTATGGTGTTCTTTGGATGCAACTCCGCATTCACTTTCCTCCAAACACGACGAGTTGTGTTTTTACCAAATAGTTCTACTTTGGTTTCATCTGACCATATGACATTCTCCCAATACTCTTCTGGAACATCCAAATGCTCTCTAGCAAACTTCAGACGTGCCTGGATATGGACTGGCTTAAGCAGGGGGACACATCAGGCACTGCAAGATCTGAGTCCCTGGCGTCGTAGTGTGTTGCTGATGGTAGCCTTTGTAACATTGGTCCCAGCTTTCTGCAGGTCATTCACTAGATCCCCCCTTGTGGTTCTGGGATTTTTCCTCACCGTTCTTGTGATCATTTTGACCCCACGGGCTGAGATCTTGCGTGGAGCCCCAGATCGAGRGAGATTAGTAGTGGTCTTGTATGTCTTCCATTTTCTGATTATCGCTCCCACAGTAGATTTCTTCACACCAAGCTGCTTGCCTATTGCAGATTCAGTCTTCCCAGCCTGGTGCAGCTCTACAATTCGGTTTCTGGTGTCCTCCGACAGCTCTTTCGTCTTCACCATAGTGGAGTTTGGAGTGTGACTGTTTGAGGTTGTGGGCAGGTGTCTTTTATACTGTTAACGACTTCAAACAGGTGCCATTAATACAGGTAATGAGTGGGGGAAAGAGGAGCCTCTTAAAAAAGAAGTTACAGGTCTGTGACAGCCAGAAATCTTGCTTGTTTGAAGGTGACCAAATACTTATTTTCCACCATTATTTGCAAAAAAATTCTTTAAAAGTCAGACAAAAAGATTTTCTCAAATTTTTTTTCACATTTTGTCTCTCATAGTTGAGGTCTACCTATGATGTCAATTACAGGCCTCTCTCATCTTTTTAAGTGGGAGAACTTGCACAATTGGTGACTGACTAAATACTTATTTTCCCCACTGTATCTTTATTCATTCTTTGTTTCATATACAGTGGCAGTTTTATTATAATCGCTGAGCAATCTGAATAATTTTCCACCGTTGTGTTCATGGGCAGTGAGATTATTCAGCATTGACACGATTGTGTTTGTGCACAATGTGTCTCCTTTGTCACCGGCCTGTGAATGTGTTTCCTCAGTAGACTTTTTATTCATTTTCAATTGAATTGTCGTGCTTTGTCCTCGATCGGCGCTGACATAATTTAAAACAATAAATTGGGGCTTTAGCTGCATGGTAACTAACCTGGTATCTTACTCAGAAGCGTGATAATGAATTCCTCAGACAAAAGGTTCACATTCCCTTTTTTTTCTGTCACTTTTTCTTCAACGTTTCCTGTTCTGCTCACCAGGCATCCAACAGGAGGTCTCTGAGGAAGATGCTGGGTTCAGAGCGCGGTGTTGTGGAAGAATGGCTCTCCGAATTCAAGGTAAAGACGCCCCTCTTACCTCTATTCAAATGTCATGAAATAAACTCTGCAAGTAGTCTTTCCAGAAAAACACAAAGGTGTAATATCTTTAAACTGAGTGTAAAGATGTTTCAGCTTTAACTCTAATTTAATACTTTAACACCTCCAGCCTGGTTAAATGTAAAATATTCTTTGTTACATCTACTCTCATCAGTGCAATGTGTCTGCATTACACAAAATGTAAATCTCACAATTATGTGCACTTTATTGAATTTGTTTTCAAGAGTTGTGTAGAATATGTCTAGCAAACATTGAAGCTTTTGTAGCTCTGTTCTGTGCAGGAGTCTTTGATTTTGGAGAAATTGTTCATGTTTATGTGAAAACATGCATGAGTCAGTGTCTCATGCATTTGTTACTGATGACAAATACACTCAGGAAAATAATGACAAATTGTTTCCTGTGGTGACTTTTAATGTTGTTGGTTTTTTTCACCACTTTGCTCTTCTCTTTGAAATGTATTCAAGAAGCATTGTGAGAATTTTTAACCTTTAACCTTTTTAAGTCTCAACCTAAAGGCTTCTTTTATATATTATAAAACAGTATTTATGTTGTCTTTTACAGCATGCAGCTAGTGTGACAGACTGAAATCTTGTTTGTATTTTTGCAATATAAAAGAATAAAACCTGTCAAAAGCTTAATACTGCTTAKTGAAATATCGCTGCCTTTGGGTCAAAATGACCTGAGGACTCTCAGGTCAWTWTGACCCAAGGGCAGCAGGAAGGTAAACTCTTCAGCAAAACACCAGTCAAGAGTGAAGATGAAAAACCTGTTGAACAGCATGAAAAGACCCACATGCAAACATACAGGCCAAATACATACCTTTTTAAATGGAACATTACTAACATTTAATAYGTTTTAAAGGTTAAAGTAGCTGAAATCTTAAAAATAAAAAAAAAACTTACTGTTTTTTTCTGCCAACTGCTTCCTTGAGTCAGGAAATCTCCTTGAAAACTGGAATGGGGTCATGGAGTTGCAATAGACAGAGGAGAAAAGGACAACATTAAAAAACTAGGAAAAAAAAGCCATTTAAGGACAGAACGCAGCAGGTCCTGTCTGCACCAAAGTGCCATGCTGGGAGGCCGTCTCTGCAGACAGCACTCAGTCTTTACTGTTTGAAGTTTGCCACCCCGGGATATTTTGTCATCATTCTGTTCACTTGAGTGATTTTTAAAGAAGCTTTTTTTTCCTGAACGCTGGGTTTTTATGTCTGCATTCACTTGTCTTTTAACAACCTTACTGACTTTGCCTCTTAGTGAAGATACCAAGTTTTTGTTTGTCTGTTGCAGCCATCTTGAATGTTAACAGTTGCAGAGATTAATTTGAGAGTTTCATTAAAATCTCTAGTTGTAATTGAAATATTTTTCTTGGACACCTGCTCTCACACAGACAGGAACATTATTACTTGTTAGCCCTTGGCAGTGGGGTGTAATTAACCACTGGCTTTAATTGTCTTGAATATAGTTGTGTAGARGTCTAAAATGCCTCAGCTCAGCTCTTCTGTTTCTTTCTGTTCCAGTCCTTACCAGAAACCCACATTCCCAGCTACGCCGGCAGCCTTCAACTAAAAAAGTCCCTGGTTCCAGCGCTCTACAGAGTCATCCAGGACCCCGGCAATGAGGTGAAACTCAGTTTGTGACTCATAATGATATCTGGCTTTGAGCAGGAGACTGACACACATCTGTGAYTGCAGGACACATGAAAACACAGGCATGTGATGTTTTGTGTGACAGTATGATGAAAGTGCTCAGTGGCAGCAGCCACATCACTTGTGAGATGGTACACAATGTTCTCAGTGTACCGTACACATAGGCTACATTTATATTCAGGTACATAACACACTGAGCCATGAGAAACAAACTAAAACATCTGCTGCCCACACCAGATAAGCTGCAGCCTCACATGCTGAAACACAAATGTGTCCAAATTCTGTTGCATCATTATTAAAGGACATGATACATTTTGTTTTTAGCGTAGGTCTGAGTCACASAGTGAGGCTGGATTTTTCTTTAATGATGCAGTCAGCGCGTGCTGTTCTCTCTGCCACCACTTTCCCTCCTATTTCATGGTCAAATTTAGGAGTCAAGCTTCCAGGGATCTAAATCCCATTAGAGCTGTCAGTCTCCCTGCGCAGTGTTGTTAATGATGAAACACCCGATCGATTCCGTGTGTGGCGTGGTGCGTGTGAATGTTTGTGAGGCAGAGAGGGACGCAGGACTTTCAAAGAGGTTTTTGCTGATGCAGTAAGAGGCAACACAATCGCCAAGTTTATTAATGAGTTGCTGCTCATTTCCCCTGTCGGCCACAGTACGACACACACACAGGTACACGCACACAGCAGTGCTGCGTGGGCACTCATTGACCTGGATAGTGTAAACACAACGGCTCAGCAGGCTCCCCTGAGAGTACATCTGCCCGGGCACTCATTGTAGAAAATCCCTCCCCTCCCAGATACTACCCACTATTGACTGGGAACAAAAGATTCCCTCTCATCTGTCCATCTTATTGCATTGTGGTCAAGATCACATTTATTGATGTTCTAATAGAAGAGCTATTAAAAAACCCGCTCAGAGTATATCTGCTTCAAAATGCCTGTTGAAGAGAAAACTCAAGTTTCCTCCTCCTTCCTCATCACAGCCTTTTTTGTTCTTGTTTCACAGCCGTGTTTCTTTCTTAAAATAAGACCACAAAAGTTACTTTAATTTTTATTTCTTAGKACATTTTTTATGCATTAAAAAGAAAACTTGCTAGATGTGTGTGTAAATATCAAGATTGAGGCCTTATTTCTTATTTTTAAGATAAGATRTGTGTTCATTCTTTGCGGCCCTCAGCTTGCTCCAGGAACCAGATCACAGATGGGTGTGAGGGAGGGAAAGGTGGGGTGCAGACCCTCACTCAGCGTAAACACTAGGAAGAATTCAGTCCACAGCTCTCAAGGCCATGTAAGGAAGAGCCAAATCTGTAATCAGTTATTTGGGAACAGAAGAAATGTTTTTGGTCAGGCAGACAATAAYGATTTTCCATCAGCCTTAATGTCCGCTGGTACAACCCAATGTGGCGAATMCAATCAGACAAATAATGTGGACAGTTTCGCCGAGCCGAGCTATCAGCTTTCTCCAAGATCAATTCCATCTGGCCAACAAAGTCCAGGGACCACAGCCGGCCCGCGACCCTCAGCAGAACCGTTTGCAGACAGAGTCCAGCTCGCTCAAGGCAAAAGTCTGAGTGCTGATAGAACGGCAATCCTTCATATTGGTCAGGCAGCCAGGAGATGAACAGCCACCGACACGGTTTGTAGAACACCAGGAGACCACCAAGCCAATCTGTAGAATCCAGCGATCAGAATCCAAATATATCCAGAACAGAGGTCCCACCTTTGACATGTCCTCCCATGGAAGAAAAAACTTTGTTCCAAAACTTTATTGAGACCAGCTAACCAAATCCATAAAAATAAAAGAGGAGGCTCTGAGCAGTGAAGCAGGGAAGATAAGGTAGGGCAGGAGAGAAGGAAAAAGCATCACTCCTCYGAGAGCAGGGTCAAAAAAGACTGGTTGTCCCAAAACCAAAGAGGAGGCTGGGAGGTGATTGAACATAGGCATTTAAGTGTTTTATAAATAAAGTTTTCTTTTTCTTGTATTTTTTTCTTGGTTATAATTGTCGGTTCGTATTGCCCTCTTATGGTTTAAAACTGAACGTAAAGAAATGTAATGTATTCCCACCTGTTTTCCAGCTGCTCGAGCCTGTGTGCCACCAACTGTTTGAACTTTACCGTAGCTCCGAAGACCGTCTGCGACGTTTYACCCTGCAGTTCCTGCCCGAACTCATGTGGGTTTATCTTCGCCTCACTGCCAGCAGGGACCGTCAGAGCAACGGCTGCATCGAGGCCCTCCTCCTGGGCATCTACAACCTGGTGGGTGTCAGTCCTTWCAAGTAGTGTGCAAAGAAAACTCTAAAATGAATTGAAGTTCTTTGTTGCGGATGCTTTCAGTGGTGAAGCCCTGAGGATTTTAGCTTAACACAGATCTTTTGTAGCTGTGGTTTGTTTTCAGTTTTGGATTTAGGATTTACAAACCCAATTCCAATGAAGTTGGAACGTTGKAATAAACAGAAATAAAAGCAGAATACAATAATTTGCAAATCCTTTTCAACCAATATTCAACTGAATACATTACAAGGACTAGATATTTAATATTCAGATTTTTTATGGCTGCAACATGTTTCAAAAAGTTTCAACAAGACTGGGAAAGTTGAGCTCAAAAATCACCTGTTTGGAACGTTCAACAGGTGAACAGGTTAATTAGAAACAGGTGAGTGTCATGATTGGGTATGAAGGGAGCATCCCAAAAAGCTCAGTCATTCACAAGCAAAGATGGCGTGAGGTTCACCACTTTGTTAAACAACTGCGTGAGCGAATAGACCAACAGTTTACGAACAACATTTCTCAATGTGTGATTGCAAAAAATGAGGCATTTTATCATCTACAGTCCAGAATATCATCAGAAGACACAGAGAATCTGGACAAATCCCTGCAAGTAAGCAACAGTTTGTCACAACTTGTACAAGTGCAAGTTAAAACTGTACCATACAAAGCCAAAACCATAAATCAACAACACCAAAAACACAGCAGGCTTCTCTGGGCTCATCTGAGATGGACTGACACAAAGTAGGAAAGGTCGTGAAGTCTGACTTTTTAAATTGTTGCAGGCATCAAATTCAAAATGTGTGAATATTTACAAAAAAAACAAAGTTTATTCATTTGAACGTTAAATATCTTGTCTTTATAGTGTATTCAACTGAATATAGGTTAAATTGCATTAAGTTTTTATTTGTTTTACACAACATCTCAACTTCATTGGAACTGGGGTTGCGTATGAAAAGTGCTGTTTTTTTTAAATTCAGCTCTTATTTTATGAGAGTCGTATTGCTCTTGTAAAGGCTGCATATTTACTGTTTCTGTCTTTCCACATGAGATTGGTATCAGACTGTTAAGTATCCAACAGAATAGCCTTCGTACTAGCATGCACATTTGCACATAAAAGTTTCATTTCTCAACAACTGCGTGGAAGGAAGTTGCCCAAATGTAATCACTGCTGYATAATCCAACACAAAACCAGCTGCCGGCGTCAGCAGTTTTTGAAAAGATTCAATCAGACCTCAAGTTGTTGGGATATGATTGAGAGGGAAGTGACTGCTGCTGCAGAAAGGAAAGGGAATTTTCTCTTTTGTCTTTGAATGAATCCATTTGCACACTGAAGGCAGGATATCTGTAATGAGATCATCTGTCTGTGTTGACAGAAATGTGCACACTTTGCAATTTAGCAGATTAGGTAAGGAATTTTTTACAATTGTCTAGACAAGTAATGTCATTTACATCATTGCTGAAACCTTTGTAAAAACCATGTATAGGTATTTATACGGCCAGTATATATAGTCATTAGTTACCTACTGGAAGCTGGGAAGTGGAGAGGTTTTATGTTGGTACCCTTCCAAGGTGACCTGCAGGGTGAAAGCACCAGTTAATGGATCGTCTGGAGGTAGATTGCATCACCAGGAAACGGCCTTGAGAAATGTGCAAAGAGCAAGAGATACCAAAAGAAGGAGCTCCATGTCAGCGGGCACAGCTAAGGGCTTATTCATGAATAATTTATTCCTCTGTGTCCACACCACCCCCCCCCCCCCCCMCMCACACACACACACGCACAAATTCTCCCCTTTGACGGCTGAGTCCTGATAAACAGATCTGCTCTCAGTAGTTCTGTCTGATATTCAGACTGAACCCACAGTGAAGGATACTGGGAGACACTGAGGTGATAATACCTGTTTAATACTTTATTCCAGAACCTAAGTGGTGAAAGGATGGACAGTTAAAATGTTAAGGTCAATGTGACCGGAAAGGGACAAAGCGTTAAAACCTAAATGATAATCACTTTATTTTTTTAACGTACCTCATTGTCACATGTGACTGAGCATGGGATCATTTTTCAGAATAAAGTTTTTGTTAAACAAAATGTTCAGTTATGCATTTCTGTGGGGGAAAATGATTTATTCTCACATGGTTAATTTTAGAAATGGGATTATTTACAGAGATGCATTAAGCCTTGTAATACGTGTCACGATGTGGAAGAAGTGAGTGGACAGCAACGTTACATTAAGCAGCAGACTGATTGCACACCTGTTCAGCATCAGGAGCCTAGACACATGTCTGCATTAATACATAAATCAAATCGTTACTCGTCTGTTATGTAATGACTGTTGACTTTCTTTCGTTGTTTTTTTAGCTTTCTGTTTCCTCATCAGTCTTTTTCAATTTGCAGGAAATAGTAGACAAAGATGGCAACAGCAAGCTTCTCTCCTTCACAATCCCCTCCCTGTCAAAACCATCAATGTATCATGAGGTAAGACTCCTACCTGCTTGTTGCAAAAATACTTTTTACTTTCTACAGTTTTTTTTCTTATGACTTTATTTATTGTGGTGGTTGATTTGAAAGATGGCACCTTATTGTTGTCCCAATAATAACCTCAATGCYTCCCTCAATTTCAGTGCAGCACCTCCTAATAGATTATTTTTAAACATTTTAATTAAGAACAAACATAAATGAATACATATGCATGCATGGGTTTCTTTCAAATTAAAATGAGGACACTTAGACTTTCATTGATCTCACTTTCAGTCCCTTTGGCTCTTTGTGAGTCACAGTTTCCATCACGCTGGGTTTGTTCTCGCTTGCTCAACTGACCTGCTGTAATTCATCACCACAGTTTAAAAGAAAATGTTGACCCGAGATCCTTCTGGGCTATAGGCCAGGTTTTCTGTCCTGTCTTTGTCACCCAGTGAATATTTACATCAAGTATGCTTATTTGTGTTTGTGTGTCACCAAAGGTGATTTTTGCAGTAAAAACAATCTTCAGAAGCTCTCCCCTTTGTGCTAAATGAAAGGAGAAAACATGGGAACAGGTGGAAAGAGATTTTCTTAGAACGTCAGTATTATTGTATGTGACCCATTGCATCTAATCTGGGATTAAGTCAAATTCGGTCAAACTAAACTAGGCACATTTTCAAATTCTTGGCWTTTTAATCTACATTTTGAGACTATACTATTATAACTGGTTCCAGATATTGCCTTGCCAGTTGGGAAGACCACTCAAAATTTGCACTGGATCCTATTKTTAGATTGTTCTAATTAGGATTTATTGACGTAATTTGAAAGAGGAAACCTCAAACCATATTTGGGTAGCTGGTATTGAAAATCACTTCACTAGCATGCAGGGAGAGTAGTGAAAGTTTAMGGCTTTTTTGCACAAAGTCATTTAGTTGTTGGTACTGCTCAGGAAATAGCTTTAAAACACTCTTTAYGATTTATATTGTGGACATTTCCTTTAATGAAATGAGGGATGTTGATTGATATTATTTTGACTAAATCCAATTATTGCAAATGTTTCAACCAATGCACCATTACTGCCTATATCTACACCTTGGGACTCAACGGGATGTGACCTGTCACATATATCCAAATGCTTTCTGTTTTTTCATTTGTCTGCCTCTCCTTGTTTGTCTTGTACAAAATCACAGAAGAAAAGTTAGACCTCTGCTCTGAATACCAGCAGTTTAAAGTGACCCGTGAYACAATCTCATTTGCATACATTTTTATTGTGCCTTTGTTCTATTRTCCTTTAACTCCCTAAAGGATAAGATCTGAGACTACTCTTACTTCATCAAGCTGAGTTTTGCCTCTGGGTTGACAGATTATAGGGCAGTGCCTACTTGTGGCAAGAAAAACACAATACATTTAAAAAGCTTTAAAKGGGACGTATCATGTAAAATCCACTTTTTTAGCTGTTAAATGCATTTTGTTGTGTATCTGGAGTCTCTAGGTGTGCAGAAAAGTTTAATTTAGTCTCTCCCAGTGCTGCAGAGAAATCTATATATTCTTTTTAGATCATATTTTTCAACCTGTTCAGTTTTCCCTGTTTTTTATGACGTTTTCTGAACTATTAAATCAAATTATTTGCAAATGAACTGCTTAAAAACTACAATTTTTCATCTTCCTTCTCTCACTTTGAGTCAAACTCTCGTTGGATGAGTTTTTGTAACATGTGCAGTCAGTTTATCTTAATAGTGGTGATAATAGTGAGAAGGTGGTTTGTAACCATTTCATTTATAAAAGTGTTTTGTGTGTAGCCTTCTGGCCTGGGGTCCATAGCTCTGACAGAAGGAGCTCTCTGCCAACACGACCTGATCCGAGTGGTTTACAGCGGCCTCCACCCTCAGAGAGAAACCTTCACTGCACAGAACAGGTACCACTAATAAATCTCACAMCTATAACTTTTTTGACATGGAGAGAATTATAATTATTAGCTTAAATTTTTTTGCATGTTTAGAAATTCTGTTTTAGCTTAAAGTTAAATAAATTATGAAATCTAGTAATATAAAATCAGCAAAAGAAATGTAAAGTTTTAGGGATAAAGTTAGATTTTTTTTGCTTTTTTAAACTTAAAGCCTATAAATTATTATTCTCATTGATATGTATGCTTCATTTCACTCTTCATCAAATATTTTTCCATAAAAAAGCCCCTTTTAAGATGATCAGATCGTAACCCTTCATGCTTAATCAGCCTCCTGTGGCTTGGACTCAGTAGGTCTGAGAGCTTTTTTGGCTCTTGTGCTCACTCTGCTGCTGCAGATGAATAATATTCTCAGCCTAGTAGTAAAGTGTGCCAGTAATCCTGCCCAAAATGGGTTTTTTGCTGGAMTCAAATGAGCAAAAATGCATATGTGTTTATTTGCRGTGACATAAATCTGGGTTATCTGATCTGATCGTGTGAGATCTGCACACATAAAACTCTGGRTCACAAGCGGTGTGGCGATGAACAATAAACTTGATAAACATATTGACTATATCTCAGCAACGCTCCACATCAAAGCTTATTTGGAAAGCCATTTGTGTGAGTGTTTTTTATGAGAAGAAGATCTAAAGCTCCTGAGAGAGGAGGTAAATGGTTTGACTGAATGAGAGCATGCAGTCGTTTAAGGCCTCGTACACCAGCTCCATTTCAATTTGCTTTCATCGAAGTGCATCCACAGGCTCTTCAAAAAGCATTTGGAAAAATGTAATGCGCACAATGTTCCCAAACAAAATAATCTCACAATCGAAATGTTGATTGTTTCGGTTTAATTTTAACAGTTTACAGAGGAGAACGTAACAGATGTGGTGCAGATGTGTTTCATCATTCATGATGTTGGAGAACTTCGGTTGCAGTTTTATGTTTACATTTATGAAAATACAATAAAAACAACTGGTATATTGCTTTGAATTTACTCTACTCAGTTAAGTGGAACCAGGTAACATAACATGGTTAAGTAAATCCAACATTTCATTTTTTACAGTGTACTTAACCTTTGGAATCAAGTTAATTGATTGCAAACACAGGAAATCTTTTGTTTTAATATATAAAGTCATGCATCTGCAAAACGCACACCGGCTGACAATTAAACCCTCTCAGGGAAGCAGTTTGCTTAGCGTGCGATAAAACAGCTCATAGGTACGAAGGATTGATCCTCACTTTGAGACGGTTTTGATGTCCTTTTCAAAGATGTTTTATTGGTTTGAATGATTACTTTAGAGGGAAATGACAATAATTTGTCTGACTCTTGTTTCAGGTTTGAAGTGTTGTGTTTCCTCATGCTCTGCTACAACTCCGCTGTGGTCTACATGCCACTTTCTTCCTACCAGTCAGTCTGCAGGATGAGCTCCCGGTGAGAATAACACCTAGAACGCATGGTTTTGTTGTTTCTGCACCCAATTAGAGACAATCTGTTTGTCTTCTCTTGTTTTTACCTATTTGTGTGAAGTCTCCTCCTCTCCCCTGTAGCCACACTTACCTCAATGCCTGACAGTCCTTGTGGCGGGGGGATTGGATTTGTAYAATTTAATTTGCGCTCGGCTAATCGGCTCACGCTGTTGGCTAGATGCAAAGCAAACCTCGGGGTACCTATCCCAGTCCGTCCAGCTTGGAAACACAGAGATGCCCTTAAGGATGTGTGATTCACAGAGTGATGATCTGCAGTGGAGCGGTTGCTCGGTCGTCGTTTCGCATCGTGCAGACGGTTCAGGATATGAATCCTGCCTCCTGTGAGTGAGCAGACAGCGCCTGAAGCAAGCTCAGTCCAGACAGATGGCAAGCTGTGACTGTGAAGATTTTCAGAGCACAATACACTCTCCCTTTGTGTTTTTACAGTGGACGGTTTGTCGTCAAACCCTCACCTAACCTAACAGCATAAAGTGGTTCAAACTGCTTTTTTTTTCTTTGTGTTTAAGCTCCCTGTCGATGTTTGTCACTGCAGGCCGTTAGATATGAAGGAACATTATTAAAAGGGTAAAGATCTCTGACTCATCTTCTTTCCCCTCCTCAGAGTGTGTGTGTGTGGCTTCCCTCGACAACAGCAGAAGCTTTGGAGAGAACCGTGCAACCGTGTGCTGCTGGACCCYGAGTTCATGGTGCAGATGCTAACAGCTGTTTATCATGCTATGTACGTATTCTTTAACCTGAATCAGAATACCATTTACTGATGCATGGAGTTTGACGTGGTGTTGTTGAGGTACAGAGCATACAGTGTAAACAAGGAATAAAAATCTAAAGTACAAAGGTTTAAAAAAGAAAATGTAAGAAATGAAGCATATTGAAATAGAATGTCAAGATAAATAAGTACAAGACTATTAACTTCATAAGCTTAATGGAAACTAGCTATGAATTAGAGCTACAGACAAGCAACAAAAAAAAAACAGCAAGTAAACATTCTTGCAGATGAAAACATTTTATAAAAATTAGAGACTTTTTGCCGATATTGTTCAACACTTAATTTCCGAAACCAAAATTAAGAYGACATCACATATCTCCTGTTGGGGACATTATGCCTGCTTTTTGATACCCCACTGGATGCATTCTATAGGTAAATATCGTACTAAATAAAAACCATTGAACTGAAGTTAGGGAAAAAAGTGTTTGTATTTATTTTTAACATTTTGTCTCAAACAACAGTGCTCTCCCTGAGATAGTCCAGTTTGATGATGTCATCAATTGTGCACCGGTKAACATTTCTGGACCACAAGCATTTATTAACACATTTTGGTCAAATCCAGGCGTTAATTATCGGGCTTTTGTTATCAGAATATAAACCGATATGTAGAGATTTTACATTTTTATGCTAATATCGGACCGATAATATCTGTAGGCCAATATTATCGGACATCCCTAATGAAAATTAGCATAATTTTAGTGCGTACATGACAGTCCATTCATTAAAGTAATGTGAAGTGTAATGGGGTTTGAATCAGTGTCCCTGGACTTGTTAATGAGTCCAAACATTTTTTTAATTTATCTATAAGTTGTGAACATTACAGATCTTTCTTAGTCTGATGCATCTAAATAGTTTTCCAGTTTTGCATAAAGTACAGGAGATTTTATGTACCTGCTGCAGTTTTCATTTCATTTAATTAAATTTTCACTCATGAGATTTTACAAATGAGCATTAAAAAAATCTAACAAAGAGAGGAAAAAAAGTAATTTTATAAGTCAAGAATTACATAAAGTTGTCCACACTTTCATAACCACTCAATGAAGCAAGACTAAAAAGAGCAGTGATTGATTTTATTTCAGTGTGAAAATCTCCTCGTGGTGTATGCGTATCAGTCTGCCAAGGTTTGAAGCCTCCCACAGCGCAGACAGATTACATCTGCAGTTTGAGGGAGCCGGTGAGCTCACCTCTTTTTAAGAACAGTTGTTGCAAAGCTGATTATAACTCCTCAATGACAGGTGATGGTGAGAAACTGATCTGGACTCACCTGATGGAGATGTAAAAGGAAGGCTGGGGGGAGAATGAGTTTATGTTCATGTAACCCTACATGAAGACAGAATCAAAGGTGGGCAGGGATATCAGAACATCAAGATTAAAATAAAACAGCACGCCTCTTTTTCCTCTTATGTTTAGTCTGTGTTTTTCAGTCCTGATGGAATCGGAATGTTTCTACCTGCCTCATCATGCTGTTTGTTTGATCTCAAACCTAAAAGGAGTCCGATTGTTGGATTTAAAGAACTGGATCAAACAGTTCAGTCGCCTTGTCTGATCTGTTTTTGTGTACTTTTTTAGCATGAGTTTATTTTGAACTAGATAACGCTTCAATTTCAGTTTGTTGATGTGTTCCCTCCTTTCTCGTGACAAAACCAAAGATATCCAGTGATTTATGCAGACGAGTCTAAGCAATTTATCAGAGTCTAAACAGGCAAGTGTGCGTGCTATTTCCCAACAAATACTACTTTATTATTCCAGTGATTCCTCTTTTTTATCTGCTTTACTTTGGTTCCACATAGTTGCTTAATTAAAATCAGGCTGGTTTTAAAGTTGATCTGCACATTTACTCTACTCAAGGTCAGAAAAGCATTTGTGATTTTTCCAGTGAGTTTATTTATAGTTTGTAGAAGAAGACGCTTCACTCTGTTTTCTAGTAATCAGTAGTGTTGCAGCGTAATTACCCCATGTGTTTGTGTAACCCCAGCACCACCACCCTTTACTTATTGCAGCCGCAGGCTTCTTTAAGCTGCTAAAAATAGCTCATGGGATGTGAGTCAGACTACAAAGGGAACTTGTGAGAGTCTGCGGTTTACTCAAATAAGCTGGAAGCATGTTGTTTAATGTTGGTTTGTTTGTGTTTTGAATTGTAGATACAATGGAGAGTGGGAGATGGGGCGAGAAGCTCTGGAGGACATTGTGTACAGAGCCCAGCTGGAGCTTTACTCCCAGCCCCTCCTGGTAAGACCTGTGTGTGTGTGTGTGTGTGTGTGTGTGTGTGTGTGTGTGTGTGTGT